AACAAAAAATCCAACTCACTGAAGATTACCCATGGAGTGCCTCAGGGATCAGTGCTTGGACCAAAATTATTCATTTTATATATAAATGATATCTGTAGTGTTTCAAAACAATTCAAATGTGTCCTATTCGCCGACGACACAACCTTTTACTGCTCTGGAAATAATATGGAACAACTCCTGAAAACTGTGGAAAATGAATTAACCAAATTAAAAAACTGGCTTGACAGAAATAAACTATCCTCAAATTTAACAAAAACTAAGTTAGTTGTTTTTGGTACGCTTCATTCATCCGACCAAGAGGCCTCTCTGCCGGCCACACTTTGCCTCCCAGCCGGCCCGCCCTTCACCCCTGGTACCCCCGGAGACCAATCAACGACCAAGTTAAAATAAAGATAAATTCAATTGAAATAGAACGAGTTTATGAAAATAAGTTTCTTGGACTAGTAATAGATACTAAACTATCCTGGAAGCCACACATAGATAACGTTAAAAGAAAAATATCCAAAACTATCGGGATACTCCACAAAACTAAGGATGTGTTGAATAAGAGTTCCTTGTACACATTATATTAGTCATTCTTACTCCCATATATGACCTACTGTGTGGAAATATGGGGGAACGCCTGTAAAACAAACACACTCCCTGTCTTAAAACTACAAAAAAAAAGCAATCAGAATAATCAATAGGTCTAAATATATAGAACCCACAAATCCACTATTCATCAAATTAAACACAATGAAATTCTACGACCTGGTTGACTTCAAAATCGTCCAATTAATGTATAAAGCACATAACAATCTCCTTTGCCAAAATGTTCAGAAGCTTTTTGAAATTAGAGAGAGCAGTTTTAATCTAAGGGGTACTAATCAATACAAAAAATCCAGAACAAGAACTAGCATTAAGCAAAGGTGTGTATCAGTAATAGGTGTCAACCTGTGGAATAATCTTGAAACGGACCTGGAAATGAATAAATCTCTGGAGGAGTTCAAAATTAGATTCAAAAGATTAGTACAGAAAAACTACATGAATCAGAATTAAGAAGAAAAAATTGATATACTTATAAAATATAGTATTACAACTGTTTGTTCTTGTTTTGGATTTTTGATCAACTTATCAATTGTACTCAAGAAATGCAGTAATTATAATGAATATGAGAAAGTTGAAACAAAAAAGGAGAAAGAATAATTATACATATACAAACCGAAAGGTGTATAAATAGAAAAGGATAGTATACATAATGGTAAAAGTATTTGATGATATGTAGACTTTTCTTCTTCTTTTTTTGAAAAATGAACAATTCATATTACTACACAATAAGGGGTAGGACAAGATAAGTTGTTTACTTCTTCCTACTCCTTTGAGCATACAACTGTGATGATGTGTGTTTTTTTTCTTTTACTTTTTTAATTTTCCTTTCATAATTTTGCTTGCCTTTTGTCAATTTGTTATTATGTGTACTATGTATGCTCAACAAACAATCAACAAACAAACAAACATGAAACATGAGACATTGCAATGGCTACACCAAAGAAATACTCTACCCACAAAAAGTTAGCGATATTCAGCTTGTAGTTGAAATTTCAGGATGAATCTAAAATTAATTTGAGCTTCTCCAAACTTTATCAGGGGCGGCACGGTTGTCGACTGGTTAGCATGTCGGCCTCACAGTGCAGAGGTGCAGGGCTCCGGCCTTCCTGTGTGGGGTTTGCATGTCCTCCCTGTCCTTGCGTGGGTTTTCACTGGGTACTCCGGTTTCCACCCACATTCCAAAACGATGCATGGCAGGTTAACGGAACACTCTAAATTGTCCCTAGGTGTGAGTGTGAGCACTAATGCCTGTTTGTCTATGTGTGCATTGTGATTGGCTGGCAACCAGTTCAGGGTGTCCCCGCCGACTGCCCAAAGACAGCTGGGATAGGCTCCAGCACAACCGCGACCCTTGTGAGGATAAAAGCGGATCTGAAAATGGACGGCTGGCTGGGTAAACTTTATAAGGCACGAACACGTCCGACTGTCTAATTTTGCAAATTTGCAAAACTTCCCATCCATAACCAGAGAAGGAGATGTACCACAACATTCATTCTGACAATTCAGACTGTCTTCATGCATTTTTGTGACTGCTGTTATCGACTCTGTGTTGTAACCTGCTCACTCTGTTCCTTCCCTCTGAGGACCTCGTTTGTCTGTTTGGTGAATGGCTCATTTGATTTTGCAAGGTGTACAAAATGTACTGTATTGAAATGTTTCACAATAATCAAATTAAATTTGCTTGTAAAGTTTAGCTGTAGTGCAATTTAGTATAAACTGGATATCCCAAGGTTTTTGTGGGCAGTGCATGTTGGGATTCATCAACTTTTTTTTTCCCTTTGATGCAGTATTTCACCAATATGGTAATGTGAAGAAGGACTGAACTTGCAATTCTTTTGTATTTGTTATTCCTTGACTGATATACACATTTTGCTGTGTTTGTTTTATTCTGGGAAGCATTCTGAAATAATGAAATACATTGGCTCATGGTTAATAATCATTGAAAGACTAATAATTGGGATTTACTTTTATGAAAAGCAAGAAAATAAAAAGGTTTTGGTGAGTCTGTTTTTACATTCTACATAATACATAAGCAACTTATCAACACAGAATACATATTTACAAGTCTCTACAAATATGCACAGCGGATGGTGTGAGCCGACAGAAAAAAGCCCGCTCATAATCAGCTCTGCATCTGCAATCGTGAAGAGTGGAGATCATAATTTAGTTTAATTTCATTCCACTTGAAACATAAATGGCAATGTCCTGACATCCAAAAATGTATCCCTCCTCGCTCTATCTCCTCAACTTCTCGATTGCATCACTGTTGGACTGAGCGAGCTGAGAATGCCACAGAAAAAGATGTGTGACGACAACTAGGCTTATGACATGTTTGTTTTCGCTGAATAAAGAGCAGTGTAATCTTGCATAGTTTGCCAAAGGACACTGAGACATATCATTGGCATGTGGATAAAAGATGGATTACTAATTGTGCTAAAGTTTACATTTGCAGACACCAAATGTGCCAATGTTTACATATGCAGGTGAAACCGTTGTGCCAATGTTTGCACTTGTAAGCATTTTCCTGTTGTGTATGTCTTTAGCTGAGCAGGCATCAATCCAGAAAACACAAATTGTTCCAAAATCCTCAAATTGTTGGCTGTCCTTTTTTTTTTTTTTTAATTCCGGCTGCGCTTTTTTTTTAATCCTTTCACAGAATTTAGTGTAACGCAAACCTCTCTGTTATCTTGTAACTTAATATATGTTACGGTTCACCTGTTGTTTTACTAAACTCTTAAAAGTAATTTAAAAAAATGCAGCCATTTCCTCCTACGAGTCGTTTCACTTTCCACGATAGGGTACAGGCACCTCTTCCTCTCTGAGGAAGACTCGGCTTCGAGAGCAATCAATCAGGCCCAGATGTCATTCTTTTCGTTTTGTCAGACATTTTGTTCGGAGCTCATCATTATTCAGTATTTTTGTGTGGCGGCATGCTGTTTTCTTTTTTTAAATGTTGCAAAGAAAAGATTCGTGTCTGCGCTCGACTTTTTTTGTTTTTTTTTCGTTACAAAATATGAAGTAGAGTAGTGCTTCCCTCTTGTGTTCGATATCTATAATACAGCTGACTGCTGGATTGTGAAATGTAAGTGCAGCATGTGCAAACCACGCTTCATTGATTGTCAAGCAGCCACACACATATTTTCTTATTTTTCAATTACTTTACTATATTGGTGATATCTTTTTTTCCAATTACAATAGTATATTTGTGAGAAAATAATTAATCGATGAGGATTGTGTTCTTTATTGACATGTTGATGTCAATACAGATATAATAGTATAATTTTCTAACTTTTGTGTTCCGGGGAGGTATCACAGTAATCACGTTGATCACAAACCTGCAGAAGTTTGAGAATACAGCTGTAAAATCAATTGTTGGAAGCCTTGTCTGTCCAATAGGGAACAGCCGAGGACCCCGTTCGTGTCTTGAGCATGCATACTTTCCACTTTGCAAATAGATTTACAATGAAGCCTCTCTTCATAGACTTATTGTTGTTTTTGTTATTATTATTGTGGTTATTATTATTATCA